CCCCCAGACAGGCGTCCCACAGGAGAGTGTAGGCACGGAGGGCGGGGGCCTGGGGACACCCCACCGCTGTGCAAGTCGGGGCAGGGGGCAGGGCCTCTGCCAGGCGGCCTGGCCTGGGTCCCACGGTGACCAGCACACAGTAGGTCCCGGGGAAGTTTCACAAAGGCACCCTGCTTCCTCGGCCCACCACACCCCTGCCCCCCCAGCACACACACACACACACACAGAACTAATTGTCACCAACCCAGAAACGCCTTAGCAAGCGCTCCCGCTCCGTGGGGAACCAGCGTGTCACCGAGACACAAAGGCTCAAGTCAGCGGGGACAGGGCTGCAGGCAGGGGACCCAGCCAGGCGAGGAGCCCCAGGAATCCCTGTGACTCTGGTGGGCGCATCCCCCCTCGCTGGGGAGTCACTCAGGGGAGGGAGGGAGGAAGAGCCAAGGGACCCCGACATTCTGCGGGAGACGCTGCGTCCTGGGCGCGGAGCTCCGCCGTGGTGCCCGAGGGGAGGGGACCCAAAGAAGACCCCACCAGGATGGCGCGGCAGGATCCGGCGGCCCCCGCCATCCACCCGGGCCGCTGGAAAGGAATGTTCAGCTTTTCTGTTTCCAATTAGCTCCCCCACCCCAGCAGCCCTCGCATTCTTTGAGACCAGGAGCCCAGGCGGCCACACAGCGGGTGCTGGAAAGGCTTGGGGCTGCTCCCGGAGGGGCTCAGGGGCCTCTCCCACCTCCAGACCCTGGGGCTGCCCCCCATAGCCCTGGGGCTTGATGCTGGACCCCCCCCCCCAGGGCTTTCTGCAGCCTCTGGCAGACCCTACATCCCAAAGGCAAGCTGGGAGGGGGAGAGGCTGGGCAGGCCCCAGAGGCCTCTGGGAAGGAACTCAGCAGGGAGGGGCAGGGCTACCTCCCTGGGTCCTCCCTGGCGCATCCCCAGCCCCGCTCACTCTCAAGAAATGACAGAGACCTCTGCTCTGCTCCCGCACCCCTCCCCCAAGGTGGTCTCACCAGGGAAGACAGGTCACATCAAGCAGGGATGTGGCTGAGGCACCGCTGACAAGCATGGGGGGGCCCTCTCTCCCATCAGCCCCTGTAGTCAGGCTAAGGGAGCCAGCTCGGCCATGGGACACGCCTCCCCTGGCCTCAGTTCTCCCACCTGTAAAACCGCACGCTCGCCTGTACTGTCTCCTTCAACTCTCCCAGCCCCCACAGCCCCACGCTTCTCCAGCGGCAGTAAGTGCCCCAGGGATGGCGTCCCAGCCTCCAGAGCTCCGGCAGGGAGTGTCACGGGGGTGGGAAGCCTGCCGTCCCCCAGTACAGGAGTTCCTCTGGGGCAGAGGCCTTTGGTCACCGGAGTGGGAAGTGCGAGCACACCTTCGGAGGACACCTATGCCCACTTAGGAGGTCAGTTTAGGGCAACGAGTTATCCCACTCTGCAGATGAGAAAACTGAGGACAAGCAGTCAACAACCTAAGGTCGAGGCCCAGGCCAAGTGGACACAGACAGGCACATGTCTCCCCCAGCAGCAGGCCACAGGGCAGACGCATCACCGTCACCACCACTGCCCCCACACAGCCCAGCAGGTAGCCAAGTCCCTGCTCAGGTACGGCCAGCTCCCAGGCTCCCCCGAGGCCCCAACACAGCCAGGCCCTGGGGCGCCCATTCCTCCAACTCACACCTCCAAGTGTCAGCTCCCGCAAGTGAGAGGCACTGCTCCAGCCCAGGTGAAATGAACCTACCCAGGACCCAGGCATGCCTCATCCCTTCCCCAAATCAGATGGGGGGGGGGGGGGGCAGTGGACAGCCAGAATCCGGCAGCTCTTTCCAGGAATTGAGTATATTTGAAACCCAGGTCAAAGTGAAGTCAAAGGGACAAAGTGCCAAAGAGAGAGACAAGCGACCCTGACAGTGCTGTACCGAGTCAGAGAAAACCCAGGCGGTCACCAACCCGGGCTCAGTGTGACCCGGGGCCGGGCACCCCCGGGCCAGCCCCTGGAGCCCTCCGGAGCTTCCATGAGCCTGTCTGGGAAACAGGAATGACAACCGCCTGTACTTCCTCTCCCAACGGTGGCCGGCCCACAGTGCACTCAGCAGGAGCCAATACAGAGCTCCCAGGGCAGGGACATGCTGGGATTTCCAGCTGGGGGTGGTCTGGGGAAGGCAGGGTCCACCAGTCCCTCCAGCTGGGGGTGGGGGCAGGTCCTGAGCTGCCCACCTCCCCTGGCAACCCGATCTGGTTTTTTTCCATCACCAGGGCTACATAGGAGTCGCTGGAGCCCCCCTGCTCCCCACACCCCAGGCCCTCAGCCCAGGCTAAACCCATCCTGAGTGGCAGGCCCAGGACCTGGGCATCCTGCAGTCTGCCTGACCCAGTGCAATCGAAGGGCCCAACAATTCACCCCCCCAGATCTGGCCACGCAGTGGGGTGCAGGTGTGGACGCGGGCTGCGGACCCCTGAGGGCTGCGGCTGTCACCGGGCATCGGCGCCAGAGCTGACACGGCGCCCTCTGACCCCACCTCCCGGGAAGTTCAGCTGCTCAGAACCACAAAGCAAAACAAAGGGGCGCCGAGAGGAAGGAGCTCCGGTGCCTTCCACTGCCCGCCGGCGCTGGGCCGAGCCGAGCCCGCCCGCCGCTCCTCGCCCGGCTTCCAGCCTGGCCGCCGACCAAGGCCTGGGCCGCCCCTGGTCCCCCGGCGGCCGCCCCTGACAGGAGCCGAGCAGCCAGGCGAGGGGCGGCCGGGGATGGGGAAACCAGATGGCTCCGTCCCTCTCGCCGGTGCCCGGGCCTGGCCGTCCTCCGCGGGAGCCCGGGGCGGCCGCGGGCCCGGCCCGGCCCGGCTCACCCCAGGGAGAGGGCCGCCTTTGTCTAAAGGTCACCACCCGAGCTCGGCGCCCGGGCCGGGCCTGGCCTCCGGTTCCCAGGCCGGGCGGCGGAGGTGGGGGCCGCCCCGGGCCCCGGGAGGTGACAGGAGCGGAGATCACCTCGACCCTCGACCCCCGCGGCGCCTCCCCCGCCCCGCGCCCCGGGC